ATGTCCAACTTTAAACTTGTTACATCACGTGGGCTTCTCTGACAAAACCCACATAAGAGTAGAAATCCATGGAATTTCTCCTCAAAATCTCTCTGTTTTGGGTGTTTTCTTCCTTGGGAACAGACACCTAATTCAGGGATTCTCTAACCTGGCTTCACATTTGAAATACCTAAGAAGCATTGAAAACATACCCATGTCTGGGCGCCCTGCTTAACCAATTAAATCAGAATCTTAGGGATGGGGGTCTTCTGTAGAGTTTAATGAGCAGCCAGGTTAAGAATCGCTGAGCTAGTGGCTCAAGCTGGAAATCTGTCAGCCACTTGCTGATATAGCTCTAGACCCTGTTTACTGTTTTCCATCATCAAAGTCACCACCCTAAACCAAGACATCATTATCTCTTGCTGGAAATAACCTCTAACTGTTCTCTTTGTCTCTGTTTTTGGTCCTATCTGCTCTGTTATTCACTATGCAGTCAGGGTGATTTAAAAAAATCTGATCTGACATATCACTCTCTTACTCATAATATTACCCTGCCTTTATGCTTGTTTTTAGAACAAGTCTCAGATCATTATGGCCTGTAAAGATGTGGATATACAGCTATAGACTTTGTGTTTTGGTCTGATCAGCAAACTTACTCATCTCCACTTTTCTGATAACATGCCTCCCACCACAGGGTGGGCTTGTGATCAGATAGGTGTCCCAGGGGTGGGCTAAGTGATCCAAGCCTACCAGGTTAACTGGGGTCCACCTTCCTTATACTTTTTGGGTCTAGAGTAGAAGCAGCCTTGCCTTGGGCTCATAGTGAAAGGGTATGGATTTGGAGCTCTTGGCCAATATTTTTTTCTCCTTTCCAAGTCGCAGAGTAAAATCCAGTATTCCTGACAACAGGGGGAAATCCCCTCTATGACTAATTAATTGTTTGAGTAGTATTTTGCTTACTTTCTACCCTTCCGGCTCAACTGTTATTTTCATAATGGCAATAGCCATGCCTATTTCATTCAAAGCGGTGTCTTCATTTCCTAGTGTATAGAAAGTCATCATTCTTCAACAAATACATGAACAAATGGCGAGTCTTGGAGACATCCATGGCAATACAGGTAAGATTAAGGACACAAATGCCAATGGAAGGCTCGTGGATACATTTTTACCAGCTTTCCCTGTGCTGACTCAGCAACAAGGCCCTGAAGTGGAGGTATGCATGACATGTGAATGCCTAGTTGCCCATCTTGGTGCAACAGGGATTTCTTTAACTTTATCTCACCAGAAGATGCTTCCTTGGCATGTTTAAGCTCCTCTTCCCTAGTATGGTAAAACTGCTGTCCCAAAGCACCCAAGAATGGAATCGTTGCTATGGGCTGCTTTATTTTATAATTTGACATTGGAATGGAAGAAGAGAGTATGCTTTTAAAGCTCTTTAAAATGCAGTTCCGTTAAAAAGAACTATTGAGGCACATCCATAAAATAAGCTCTGAGGAATGATAAGGAAGAGTAATAGGTATGTGTTCTGGTGTTCTGTCCAGAAATATTGTGCAATATGGGGATGAATTTATTCCTTAAGAATTTATGCAAAATGTACATAATCCTCCATGACTTTTGTTTCCTAATTTAATTCACTAGGGTTTTTGATGTTTGGATGTAGCTATTTGATTCACTGATATTGAGGTGGCAATTTTTGACATAATTAAAAGACAAACCCTAAAAGCATATTTATTTTAATTAGGAATAATACATGAATCAGATTTAGCTCATCTTTGAACTTCATCCCATTCCAACCTATCCCCCCTCAGGTAGGGATCAGGGATGAGATGAGGTCAGGGGTGGGTTAGCATCGGGGTTGAGAGACAGGTGGTATGGAACATGGTCCCAAACGGCTGGCGAACCACATGGAAAAAGGGTCATAGTCTCACCACATTTACCAGTCTCATAAAGGGCCACCTGCTGCTCACTTGCTGAGAATTTATTTGTATCATCTGTATCTCAATACCTTAAATTTATCTCTGAAATGACAATTGTCATGATCATTTCCTTTTAATCAATAAATAGGTGGATCATTTAATTGAGGTATTTTTTAAACATTTTATTTATTTTTAGAGAGAGGGAAAAGGAGGGAGAAAGAAAGGGAGAGAAACATCGATATGTGGTGTCTCTCATTTGAAAAGCTATAGGTTGAACACCTTTAGGTTGACTTCTTCGTTGTGTTGTCTTATTTGAGTGGGTATATATTATCCATTAGGCAAGATGGAGCTCGGAGCAGGAAAAGGATATCTGTAGCATATTAGGACCTCATATTCCCCAGAAAACACTCAGATTTCTAATGGTTTAGTGGTCCATTATATACAGATGTTTTACTAGTTATTAAACTCCTTCAAAATGGAGGTTGGGGGATTAGCCTTAGAGTCTAACTTGATCGATTCCAATAGACTAAAAATCTGTGCTGTTCTTCTGATTTTAAAATTAAAGCTTATTCAAATAGAATAACATTCTGTGTTCAAATAGTACAGAAATAAAATTTTAAAAGAAGAAAATTCTTCACGATCAAGTTTAAACTTAGGGATAGAGTAGAAATCGAAGACCAAGGCAGATTCATTGCAAAATGTTGAAGCATAAGCTTCAAGGCCCCTCACTTGCATGGGCCCCTTGGAAAAGCCTGGGAGGGCCCTCATAGTATGTAGATAGAGTCATTATGAAATGTGTACATGTGAAATGTTTTAACTCCAGGTAGCGAAGGCTGCTTTCTCTTTCTACCCTCACCTCCTCTTGTCATGTTTTCTGTTATGTTGAGTGGCACTGGGGGTGCCACAGGCCTTTTGGACAACAGTCTACAGAAAAGTTGAGTTGGGAGTTTCTTTACATTTAGGTCAAAGGGGTATATTTACATTGTTTACAGTCATATCCATGAGGGCTATTTAGCTAGCTGCTTTGGTGTAGCAGTCACTCCCAGTATCACTCCTACAATCCACTGCTTTGACTCACCAAGGTGAGGACACAAAAGTGTAAGCCCAGAGTTTGCAGAGTAACAGGTGAGTGAGCTATAGCTCCTACCACCGACAGCATGTAGGTGGTGGAGGACAAGCCTGGTCTCAAATATGTGGAGCCAGAAGTCAGTCTGTGGAAAATTCTTCCAATCGTCAGTCACAAAACTGTGGGAGAATTACTCAGTTTTAATCAATGCCTCATCAAAACAGAAGTTCTTGGCTGCCAGAAATATACTTGATAATGTTTTTATACACTTAGAAATATTTTGGAAATCTCTCAAAAGGGTAGTATCAGAATCACTGTGTTTGTAGAACAAACATGTTTTATGTATCCCAACATATTACTAAATCACACTGGTATATGGAAAAAATACACTTGTAACTGATGTAAAAATAAAATACTGACATCAATGACAATACAGAACTTATAATGCATTATTATAACAAGTTCAGAGACTAGTTCTGTTCACTCAAAGAGTAAGATTGTTCTCTGCATAAGACAGCTTGAGATGCCTTGAAATTTTACAGCTCACATGAAAGCTGGTAGAAGTTTCCCAAAATTTGCCAGTAACAAATTGTAATGCTAAACTATTCCAAAAAGGAGAAGGTAAAAATTCTTCTTTATATTTTCTCTAATTTTTTAAAAAACAAAACACACTAGTAATTTTACATGTTGACAAGGAAGTTTGACATCAAATGGCTGTATCAAAGTGCTCGGTTAAGCACTCCGCTTTGAACCAGCCCTGTCCCAAGTGGAGGCCTTACCACCCACACCGCTGGCTCCAGCCTCACACGCACAAAATTAGTGAGGTTATACCTGTAGTTACCTGGGTGGAGCAGAAAGTAGAACTGAAAACCACAGAACTGAAGGTAGAAGTTTTTCATCGAGTGCCCTTGTACGTGTGACCTATTGTCAAACCACATGCCCCGGGGCCCCTTTGAATTGATATTTAAAACAAATGACCATCTTATGGCTAGTTTAATTATAGCACACTGGATTCTCTTTCCTGTTAAAGGCATTGATTTGTTAAATGCAAAACATTTCAAACAGGCCACAGTCTCTGTAACCTTACCTAGACTCCGGGAAGGTTCTCCCACATCACCGGCCTGGTCCTTGGGCCATGAAAACTGCTGGACTTAATTCTTGGCATAAGTGTTTGGCACATGGTAGGTCCTTGAACGTGACTTTTTTGCTTCCCTCTTTCTTCCATTCTTTTTCTGTTAGGTATGAGGAAGTGTTTACAAAAAGAAAATATACCTAACACATTCCAATCATACTATCAAATGACTGCTTTTGTCAAGCTGTCTGGTGCCACAGAGTCCAGGTCTCTGACAATGTGGCACCTAGGAACTGTCTTTTGACCTGGAATAATTTTTTATTGCTTCATATAATGCTGCAACTGATGGATCAGCTGTGACCAACTAGAATAAAATGTATTTATCAAGAGAAAGACATATGCTTCACTGAGAGATGATGCATTTGGATGCTAGTCATCCTGTGGACATAAAAATAGCAACTAATAATAATAAAAATAATAACTACACTAAATTGTGAACCTAGTTTGGTGTAGAGGACCCTTCGACATTCACTGCCTCATGAGATCCTTTCAACAATTTTGGAGGGTCTGTCCGAATTTTTGAGAGGACAATGTTGTGTGTGGGGGATTAAGTGACTGACCCAGGATATCCTGGCCCATGAGTGGATGAGCCAGAACTCGGATCCATGACTGTATGATTTCTATGACTCCTGAATATTTATAGCATTTATATCAGTGGTCTTCAAGGACAACACCCACCTTGTTGACAGGCCCCTGTTCTTCTCCTCAACTCTGTTGAGATGGAAGCCATAGTGCAGAAAACCTGGATGCTGGAAAAATGCTATCACTTTGGGAAGTCTCTGGTGGCCTCAGGGGATAAAAATAGAAAATGACCATCTTATGGCTAGTTTAATTATAGCACACTGGATTCTCTTTCCTGTTAAAGGCATTGATTTGTTAAATGCAACACATTTCAAACAGGCCACAGTCTCTGTAACCTTACCTAGACTCCGGGAAGGTTCTCCCACATCTCCGGCCGACAGAAAAGGCAAAAAGGAGATGAAATCTCTGAAACAAGAGCAAGCTTGGCATTTGGAAGAAAATAAAAGAAAATGGAAGGCATGAACCACTGGGAGGTAGGTAGGACCGAGATACCCACCACCTCACAAAAGATTATATGGCATTTTACATGTACCAGGCTCTATTTTAGTCCTCCTACCAGTTCTGTAAGGTAGAGCTTTTTATTGACCGCATTTTTCAGATGGTAAAGTTGAGGCAGTGGGAGGTTAAGCAGCTTGCTGGGCGTAACTTGGGCCGTCTGCCTCCTGAGTCTGTCGACCTGGAAGGTAGATGGCGGCAGTTTATTATGGAGCACCCAAAAGGAATGTGTCAGATACTTGTACACAAAGACTGAAACACAGGGATGGCTTTTGGATTGAAGATACAGAGTTATCAGTCACAATGGCTGCGATTGATGACTTCTGATCATTTTTTAATCTGTTTTATTCTAGTAGGCTTCAAGATAATGTTATTTATTTCTGTTCCTATTCCCAATTCAGCCAAATTACTGCATGTGTTGTAGCTTTTGGCTTAAGGCCTCATGGTCTTTCATGAATTTTCTTGTGATGTATTGAAATCACAGCATTTATTCATCCTTTTGCTTTATCAAAAATTTTTAATGAAAAATACTACTATTTAAATAGTGTATACTGTAATAACAAAAATAAAAATAATATTAAACTATTCTTAATCACCATTTTAAAGGTATATATAAAATAAAGCAAAATACATGTACATTATTTTAAGAGTGTTGCAATATAACTACTTAACAAATTCACGAATATAAAAATTTCATCTGATTCTGGATTTTAATATTGTATATAAATAAGGTTCACAGGCATAGTCCTGATGTTAGTGTACCCAAAAAATCCTTGCAATTTGGTTTTAAAATAATTCTTGCTTTCACTATTGGCAAAAATACCAAACTCTATTATGAATTAAAAGAGAAACATTAGTTTGCTTTTGCCAAGGCTCTTTTTGGTTTAGCGTTGTGCTAGAGCAGCGTGAATGGCAGTCAGCAAGAGGCGGTGCAGGCTCTGGGAGGGTCTGCAGTCCAGGGAAGCATCCGCCATGTAAACACCTGACCATAACACAACAGGTGCCCAGCTCCAAGACTCACAGATAAAATCCACTGGAATCAATGACCAGAGAGGGAAAAACTGTAGCTGTTGGGAAACCCAACACCAATGCCCACTTCTTAATTTGCATAAAAATACTGCAGTAGTTAATATAGTCACTTAGAAAGATTATACATTAACTTCTGCTGTGTCTTAGAGTCACTTGAGTTTACAAACCAAATATACCTGGAGTTTAAGAATTTGAGAGAGATGTAATGAAATTTCACCATCGTGCCAATGTGGTTTTTCATTTTTCATCCTAGTTATCTGACTTCTTTATTAATATTGTCTCTTTAAGTTCAACGTCTTTTTCTTCATATTTTTTTTGCAGTTAAGTCCTTGTCCTTTAAATCTAAATAAAGCAGTTGATGCCATCCTGCTACACTTAGGCTCTGAATCAGACTCCCAGTTGGAGAGGATGAACTGACTAAATGGCTTTCTCCTCTCACTCTTCTCATACGTAATCTACGTTTATTTGACTGTGTGGCACCTGAAGAGTTGCATGGAATTATATGATCTATGAATTGTTGCTCATGAAGAAAATTAAAAGCAGACATTACTGAGTCAGATAGAATTACAAAATGCACTTATGGGGACAGGGACTATTTCTTTGCCTAGGATTATTTAGAGGTTAATTTTTTTGTATTACAATGGAATTATATGCTTAAATTGTTTTCACTTGTGTCTGTCAGCAGGATGATTATGAATTCATCCAAGCACTATGAATTTTGTGCTGGCTATTTTCCCAACTCTACTATAATACATGTGAAAATTGGATGTTTGCTGGTAAAGATAATTTCGGATAGATTTTCTAATTCGGTCCACTAAGCAACAAATTGAATTAAATGCTTAATTTAAATTTGGAAACAAAATTCTAGATTTTGATGCCTTTCCCTGTAAAAATTGTCCCAAATATGTCCTATAGTAAAATGCTGTGTCCTTTTCCATCCCCATTATAGTTTCCTTGTGTCTTTAAAAAGACATAGCCCCTCCCACTGCTCGCTCTCCTCCATAATTTAAATTAGGGACATAGTTGTTTGCTAAGCCTCTGTTCTCATTTTTCCTTTTTTCAGAGAGCAAGGGTGCATGTTCCAGTTTGTTTTCTTCTTATGAATCTTACCTGTATTGTTTCTGGCTTCACTAGTGTGTGTGTCTGTGTGTGTGTGTTTATGCTTTAAGCTCTCCCCCTCCACTGCTGTCCTTAGCCCTGCCCATGGATTCAGGACCAATCTTCCTTCCCTCACTCCAATTCTCTTACTATCTGCACTATGCTCACAAAATCTGTTCATTCTTAAGTGGAAACTGGTAAAAAGTTTGATGGTCTTTGAGTTATAATGTGGCTGACAATTAGTTAAGACTTTTTTTCTAAGTGACAAAAATACTAATTTAAACAGGCTTAAGGAGAGAGGGAGAGAGAGAGAGAGAGAGAGAGAAATGCATCATGGGCTCATACGAAACAACTAGAGAAGTTTTGGATGGCCAGAATCCAGAGGTACAAATGACACAGCAGCTTCCTCTATGAGGTATGCCCTGGAAAGTTTAGCTAATACCAGGCAAATTCAACTCCAGCAGACCTTCCCCCCTCCCCGCCCCTGATATTCCAATGCAAATTCTCAGATCAGTTCTTCATTAGACCAATTCAGATCACTTGCCATCTCCAAGCCAATGATTGTTACCAAAGGCATGGAATATGTTAATTGGGCAAGCCTGGGTCCTGTGTCTATTCTTGGATTCTGGGAATGGAGATCAACCCCATCAGAACTGCAAGGCCTTAGGTGAGGAGGAGTGATAGCCACATGAAAATCAGGGTGGTAGTACAGAAATGGATTGGATATTGACCAGGCAAACACAGTAGGTATCCATCATGATCACCTTCCAAGGCACACTATGTTCCATTCAGAACCGTGGTTTCTGTATTTGGGTTTTGAACTCTACCCACTTCAATAAAAATTACTGTAGAATAAAGTGTTTTCATTTAATACTAATAGCAAATCATGACTGTAGAGTAATAGAGCAATGGTTTAGATTTTCTCACTTAGAGAAATGTGGCAGAAATAAATGTCTGCTATCTCTCTATCTCTGTGCTTACTAATAATAGCTTGGAGCAATAAGACAGGTTCTGGGAGAATAGGTGATAGGCAATAGGCCATTGCTGACCCCATATTCCTCAGACCTGATACCTGTGTATTGTTTGGTCTTTGAACTTGGCTTCACTCCTGGGCACACCTGATCCTGCCCTGGCTCATCTCTGCCCATGGAGAGCATGCTGAATACCTCATTATGTTAGGTTCTGTCAATATAACTACATTACAATTTGTTGCCTAATCTGTGTTGTGTGACTTCCTGGTGGCGTGGCTTTGCTCAGAACACTTCACTTAGTTGACCTTCATCTTAAGTTGTACTAATTTCCTACTTCATAGGGTGATCATAAGGAAGTTCTGAGTTAATGTGAAAGTGGCCTGGCATATAGACAGCAGCCAGTAAGTAGAGGTTATCCCTGGAAACATGTCCTCAGGGGGCAAGATCTCTGCTTGCTCCTCTGGCTCCACCTTTTAGAATTTTCTTCTGTTCAATTTCTTCCTTATGTCTCCTTCATCCAGTCACATTTGGTGAAGTTTTTTCTTTTCCTATGAGAAGAACATTTAACATGACACTGATCCTCTTAACAAAATTAAAGAATGTATAACATATTATTGTTGGCTATAGTTGGTAAATTCTTCATGAGTTTATTGTAAGTTCTATTGCACTTACTGAGCACCTGCTATATGCCTAATAACCTTAGATTGTTATTCATTTGATCCTCACAACAAAATTAGAGGTAGATAGTATTTATTGATTTTATTCAACAGATAGGGAAACTTAGTCTCTGACTAAGGTCAGAATCAATCTGACACCCTTGTTCTCATCTAACGACTGGTTCAGAAACTTCAGAATACAGAGGAATCACCTGCAATGTGTTCAAAGTGCAGATTTCTGAAGCTCAACTTTCAAAGGTTCTGATGAGAGGGCTCTGCGGTAGGTCAAAGAAATATTCATTTGTAACAAGATGTCCAGGTGATTTCACAGGTGGTCCACAAACCGCATGCCTTCATCAGGCTTTCAGATGACTGATTCCCCTTCCTGTGGTTTTGCACCTCTCCCAGCTTCTCTAGCGGGAGGAGAGAACTGCTCTTCTACCTGGAGATTCTGGCAACTGCCCTGAGCCATCCTCTCCTGGTTTTCTGGGGGTTTTCTTGTTTGTTTGTTTTGTTTTCCAAACAATTCCTGAATCCTTATCAAAGTAATCTGATTTCCCTCTGAGCCATTAGCACTTATGCTGAGAGTGCTTGTGTGTATTATGGTTCATATGAGTATCTGCTGTGCACTGTGCACGGAACAGGAGCTCACCAGATGTTTGTTGATTACTTTTGTGTTGTGTGAATTCCCATTTAGTCCTCTCCAGTTTGTATGTTCAGGTTTCCTCAACCAGGCAGTAAAATGCTTAAGGAAAGGGGATGACAGGTCTTCCAATGCTTGTTAGCTGAGCTCTCTCCACATTTTGTATGCTCCACAAAGACTGCTGACTCAGCTGCAGCAGAAGATGCTTACTACATGTTTGTTCAAGTAATTAACCATTCCAAGGTGTTGGTTACCACTATTTTTTCATAGATGATGAGATTTTCATGGCTGGAAATCTTTTGAACATTTACACTTGGTTTTCTACCTTAAACATTCAGCAGGGAGGGAAATAATAACACAATTTTAGCCTCAGAGGTAAAATATTTAACTACTCAACATTCTTTGTTTTTGCATAAAGAAATGTTTAACCAAGATTCCTCAGGTTACAGTCAGATGGCCAAACTTTTAAAAACAAAGGCGTGGACACAAATTTGCAGGCAGGATTCACCTCAAATGCAACTGCTTGTGGATTACGTCTCTATTTCTTTGTCTTTATGGGATCTCAAGTTCTTTCTGACGCT